AACCTGATGTCAATATGTTTGCTTCTTCCATGAAGAACAGGATTCTTTGACAGTTTTATAGTTGAACTGTTATCACATAAAATTATAGTAGATTGTTCCTGTATGAACCCAAGTTTTGCCAAAATTCTTCTTAACCAAATACATTGACAGGCACATGAAGCAGCTGCAATATATTCAGCTTCGGTGGAAGATAAACTAACCACAGGTTGTTGACTCCCAAGTGAGTGTCTCCATTTGTTGAAAGCACCTCAAAAACACCATTGTCAATTGTCAGGATACTGACATCAAATGTCCCACCACCAAGGTCAAAGACAAGAATGTTTTTCTCACCACCCTTCTTGTCCAAACCATAGGCAATGGCTGCCGCAGTTGGTTCATTAATAATTCTTGCAACATTAAGCCCTGCAATTATACCAGCATCCTTGGTGGCTTGCCTCTGGGCATCATTAAAGTATGCAGGAACTGTAACAACAGCATCCTTTATTTTCTTCCCAAGGAATGCTTCAGCTGTCTCCTTCATCTTAGTAAGAATCATCGCGCTAATCTCCTCTGGGCTAAAGACCTTGGTCTCCCCATCCTTTATCTTAACCTGAATGTAAGGCTTGCCATCCTTGTTCACAATCTTATAAGGAACAAGCTTCATATCCCTTTGAACTTCTTTATCCTCGAACTTTCTTCCAATAAGCCTTTTCACGTCAAAGATGGTCCTCTCAGGATGACAGCCGCCTGGTTCTTTGCTGCCTCACCAATCAGTCTCTCACTGTCAGTGAAAGCTACCCATGATGGGGTAATACGGTTTCCCTGGTCATTGGCTATGATTTCAACATGACCATTTTTGTATACACCGACACAGGAGTAAGTTGTACCAAGATCTATCCCAATGACTGTTCCCAATTTGGTGGCTTCTTCCTTTGCAATGGAAATTGCAACGAGACATCCGAAGAAGATGATTGCTAGTACCACCAGAGACCCGCGTGCTCTCAATGAGCTAGCCATCGCGTAAAAGTTCTCCCTCCCTCTCTCTCTGATAATCACTTGCTCTTGGTATCTCTCATGCTGCCACATTTGGCATACATAAAGATCAAAGAATTATAACCTGAAATACTCAACTTGATGTGGTTTTCAATCATATATTTAACCACCCAACTGCCCAATTCTAAAGCGCCAAGATGTGCACATGCTGAGATGACAACTGCCATTGTCACCTCATCTGGTTTCAAATCATTAGAATTAGCAGTTCTAATCATTTGCTTGAAAAGCTGAATTGCTTCTGCAGATTGTCCATTTTGAGCGTAACCAGAAATCATAGAGTTCCAAGATACAACATTTCTTTCAGGCATTTTATCAAACAGTTCCCTAGATGACTTCAACTCTCCAGCTCTTGTATAGGCTGAAATCATGGCGTTCCAGCTAACAACATTCCTGTTCTTACCCAACTCATCAAAAATCCTTTTAGCAATCTTAATATTCCCACACTTTGCATGCATATCAAGCAACGCAGTCTTCACATAATAATTCATAACTATACCCTTCCCATCAAGCAACTTCACAACCAACTCTGCAAGTTCAGGATCACCTTTTGACGAACAGGAAGAAATCACGGAGACCCACGTAGTTTCATCTGGCTGAACTCCACTACTCATCATATCATTAAACAATCTTAACAATCTTGACTCTGAGAGTTCCCATCATCTGTGTCGTTAGATGACGGTGTACTGCTACATGAACCAGTTGCTTGATTAAGAGATGATAAGCTTGTGCCACTTGAATCAGCTTGTGTTATTCTGTTCTCCTCTACCCCAGGTGTTCCATTTTCTACTGCATCTCCTTCCTCAATATCTCCCCAATCCAGCAAATCCAAGGCCTTTTCCTCTTTGCTCATATTCCAATTCCATTTTTCATTCTCCTCAAAAATGACATCCTTGCTAACAACTATCTTTTTAGAAATGGGATCATACAACCGATAAGCCTTCAACTCATCACTTACTCCCAACAAAACACATTTGAAGCTTTTATCATCTAACTTGATTCTCTTCTGGTCAGGTACATGCACATGGGCCAAGCAACCAAAAACTCTGAAATGTTGTATAGTAGGCTTCACACCACTCCATGCTTCCTCCGGAGTTCGATCTTTCACGGCTAAGGTAGGACACCTGTTGAGGACGTGCACACACCACTTAGCTGCTTCTGGCCAAAAGATCTTTAGAACTTGCTTCTCTGTTAGTATACATCGCACCATGTTCATCACAGTCCTATTCTTCCTTTCTGCAACTCCGTTTTGCTGAGGAGTATAAGCTGCTGTCAATTGCCTGGATATGCCATTTTCCTTGCAAAATGCCTCAAAATCAATCGAGGTGAACTCACCACCTCTATCAGTCCTTAAACATTTAAGGAAAACATCTGCTTCCTTTTCAACATGAGCCTTGAATCTTTTAAAAACAGTAAGAGCCTCCGATTTTTCATCTAAGAAATAAATCCAAGTTTTACGGCTGAAATCATCAATAAAACTTAGGAAATACCTCTTATTACTATTTGATGTAGGTTTGATAGGACCACATATATCAGCGTGCACCAACTGAAGTTTTTGTGTTGCCCTCCACAGACTTCTTTTTGGAATAGCTTCCTTGTGTTGTTTTCCGGCTAAACAGGTAATGCACAGCTTTTGAGGTTCTGTGAGTGAAGGCAAACCATTCACCATCCTTTTGTTTTGAAGAGTTTTCAAGCCTTTGAAGCTTAAATGCCCAAACCTGCGGTGCCACAAATAATTCTCATTTCTGTTACTGCTTGAAAACAAGTAGTAACTTCAGGTTTCATGTTTGCAAGCAAAACAAACATTCTGTTTGCACTCATTTCAGACTCAATAATCAGGCCCTTACTAGGATGAAAGACTTTGCATTTTCCATGCTGAATTAAAATTGACACACCTTTTTCTTGCAGCTGCCCCATACTCAACAAGTTATTTTTCAGCTCAGGTATGTAATAAACTTCAGATATTACCTGAGTGATTCCTTTGACTTGCATCCGAATATTTCCCTTCCCCATAACTGACATCCTTGAATTATCCCCTAGCTTCACGGTTTGCCTGAAGTGGACATCCAAATCGGAGAACCATTCTTTATTCCCACTCATGTGATTGCTACAACCGGAGTCAAGGAACCAAATCTCTTCTCTTTGTGCTTGGTTAAGCTCAACATACGACATCAATAACAGCTCTTCTTCTTCATTTAGTTCGGCATAGTTGGCTCCAATATCCCTTTGAGGACATTCATAGGGAAAATGCCAGGAATAGGTCCTGGTGCCCCACTCATCAACAACTTTACTGATGAGTGTTTTAATTGTCACAATTTAGGACACAAAATGCCTCAAAATCAATCGAGGTGAACTCACCACCTCTATCAGTCCTTAAACGTTTGAGGAAAACATCTGCTTCCTCTTCAACATGAGCCTTGAATCTTTTAAAAACAGGAAGAGCCTCCGATTTTTCATCTAAGAAATAAATCCGAAGTTTTACGGCTGAAAATCATCAATAAAACTTAAGAAATACCTCTTATTACTATTTGATGTACGTTTGATAGGACCACATATATCATCGTGCACCAACTGAAAGTTTTTGTGTTGTCCTCCACAGACTTCTTTTTGTAAGAGCTTCCTTGTGTTGTTTTCCGGCTAAACAAGTCATGCACAGCTTTTGAGGTCTGTGA